TTTTAGGTCAATTCGATATACATATTAAGTACTTTTATATTTACAGCATTATCATTAATTTTTTTTAAAAAATAAATTAAAAAATTGTATTTATAAAAAATTATATAATTTAATTAAATGCAAAAAATTCTTGTATTACTAATTAAAAAATGTTTAGTCAACTGGTCAGTCAAATCAGTCAAAATCGATTAGTCAACCGATTAGTTAGAAATCTTTGACCAACTGATATCAGTTACGGTTATAATTAGTCATAACTGCATCCCTAATTTCTAAAAATAAAAATTAAAAAAATATATTATTTTATATTTATATCATTAAGTATTAATTAATAATTTAATTCCTTAAATAATTTATATATAGCAATATATAGATCATATATCAATCAAATTATAGTTTAAAAAAAATCTTTTTGAGAATAATAAAATCAAGTTATCCCTTAAATAGTAATGATTTTATTTAAATTTAGTCATTATGCAAAATTCTACATAAAAACTTACAATTTTTTTAATTTTTAGTTAAAATACATTATAAAATTTATTATAAATCTATTATTTTTAAATAAATTTTTATTTTTTAATAATTAAATTTATGATTTTTTTATAAATAAATAATATTTAAATATATAAATAAATGTTTTAAATATAAATTTATATAATTTGTAAAGTTTTTTTACTAATATAAAAATAAATAAAAATTAAAAATTTTAGCTTTTATAAATAAAATACTTTTATTAAAAAATTTTTAAAACTTTGATCTTAAATTAATGCAAAAATTTACTAATTAATATAATTTTTTTTTTGATTTTATTTGTAAAACATCATAAATTTTATTATAAAAATATTATTGATTTATTAATTATCTTTAATAAATATAAATTCTTTATTAATAGTTTCAAAGGTTTTTTCTATTATATATTAATATATCAGATAACTGTAATTTTATAAATAAGATATAAAAACATTTAATTAATTAATATATGATAATATAAATTAATATTTACATTATTTTTTCTATTTATTATTTAGTGATTTAACAAATTTTACAAATTTTAACTAAAAGAGTAAATATATAATGTTATGATCAAAAATATTACATATAATTTATATAATTTGTTGAATTTAGATTTTTTTTTTAAAAAAATCAATGTATTAAAAAATAGTTGAGACACATAATTGTAATTAATTTTGCTAAATCTTATATAAAGATATCAATTTAAAGAATTTATCAAATATTTGAAGAAGAGAAATTTAAAACTCAGGGTTAGAAATAAATAAACAATATTTATTTTAATAAAACTTACTAAAAATTTATATTCTCTGCCTAATAAGATTCTCAAAATTTTTAAATAATCTATTTATATAAAATCTATAATGAATAAATAATAAATAAATTATATTATATTAAATGAATAATGATTATAATAAAAATTTTTATTGTTAAAAAAAAAATTGAACTTGTCTTATTTAATTGAAAAATGTAATCTTCTTAACTTTGAAATAATTTAGTTATGGTTTATTTGATTATATGGGATGAGTGTTGGAAAAATAGACCAAATTGATTTTTTTTTTTAAAAAAAGTTTCTAAGTAAAATAGATGTAGATTTGGTCATCTGATTCAGATCATTTGTTATTTCAAAAAATATTTTTTGTTGATTTGGTCCTTTTTTCTAGCACTCACCCCATATAATCTGATTTAATTTAATGAAATTAGAATATAGCAAATAATTTTCAAAATTTAAATATTTCTTTTCAAGTTGGTTAAATTAATTTATTTATGCTTTTGATAGAATATTATTTGCTATTAATTTTTATAATATTAAAAAATCACTATTTTAACAAATTTTGTTAAGAAATAATTAATAAGTTTTGATATTTTGAAATTAACTAATTAAATATAAAGACTTAAATTTTACTTTGATAGAGAAAGTTTTATAGTTATCTTATCTAGAATTTTAAAATCATGATAAATCTCTATCAAATACATATTAAATCATTTGTAACTGATTTTTAATATCTGAAATAAAAAATAATAATTAGTGAAAAATTATTAAATAAAATATTTTATAATATTACTTAAATAAAAAATAAAAATTCAAATATTTACAAATGATTCTTGAAAATAATAAATCAAATTTAATAAAATTAGTAATTTTAATTTTAAAAAGGATTAAATTTAAAAATAAGATTATATTTATAATGAAGATGATAAATAATTACAAATGTTTATTATTATATTTTTGTAAAATTTATATAAAATTTATAAATATATTTTTAATATTATTTTTTAAACTTAATAATAAACTTAACTTTATTTATTACAAACTGATAATTATTGAAATTTTCAATTAGGAGTCAATATAATATTATGATTATTTAATTATTGATACTTATATATTAATAAATTATTTGAATAAAAAGTTGATAAAAGTCTATTTGTAAAATGTGATCAGTATCAATAATAATCTTAAAAGAATAAGATATATGATAATATATATAATAAATGAATTCTGTTAATATAATTTCTGGTGAATAAGAATGACAGATACAATTTTAAACAGTATGTAAAATCTTTATTATTTAAATACAATTTTTTTAAGTAATTGGTAATACTAATGAAACAATTTTATTAATTATTTAATATTTTATATGATTTCTTTCTGCATTGATATATGTTTTAATCTAGTATGTCATGCTATTAATACCGGGGGAAGACAAAAGTATTGCACAGTTTTGATTTAGATATTTTAATTAATTTATCATATGTAATTGGGCCATATTTTTTTAGTAACATATTGGCTGGCTTATGCTTAATAAAATATTTAAATAATTATTAAAATTAAAGCATTGCAAGGTGTAAAATCGAAAATTTAAAAACACATTACTTTTCAATTTATTGTATTTATCGCATGTATTAAGCTTCAATATCGGATTCAATATTTAGTTTTTTAGAAGTTTCTCTTGCAAAAGAAATCAAATTACTATTGTATAATGATATCCTATAATATTTATGATTTCTGAGTTACTAAACCAAATTTTTTGCTTTAATAATGCTCTTTTTTTATAAAAGATAAGTCCTTTAATTATACTATCACTTGCATCAAAGCGAAATTTGAGAGTATTTTTAAATTCGATTTAACGAATTTCAACATATTAATTCAAACTATAATAAAAATATTTCATTTATGTAATCAATAATCAATAATGTTACAAAAAAATATGGCTTAGTTACATATGATAAATTAACTAAAATATCTAAATCAAAACTGTGCAATACTTTTGTCCTCCTCCGGTACATCTAAGTAATATATTATTATTGAGATTTTCCTATTCTTGCTAGATTGTGGTAAGAAATACATCAAATAATTTATAGTTATATTGCTAGTTTTATGTAGCAAACTGACATATCATTTATATATGCATAAAAAAATGTATAATTGTTATGATATTTTTTTGCATTATGCACATTTTGATTTCAGAATGTTAACACTGAGTTTTGTTTTATTTCAAGAGAGCTTAGCATGATCATAGGATGAAAGTAAAATAAAATAAAAGACAAATATAAATTTAGACTTATTCTTTTAAATTGGAATTTTATTATTTGATTTAGTTATATAAATAATGGTCTAAATCAGAAAACTAAACACATTATGACTTAAATAAATGCAATATAACTATCACCATTTTTTTACTGAAGACTATAATAATATTAATAACAAATTATTAATACTTGATAAATTTACCTTTTTTAATATAATGAAATTGACAAAACTAAAATAACAAAACTAGTTTTTATAAATAATGAAACTATTTTACTTAATTGCCAAAATGATATTTAATTTTTTTGAATTTTTTGAATTAAAATACATTAAAAATATAATAATTTTATACTTATTTATATAAAAATATTAAAAAATAAATTTTTTTACAAAGCTACCTTTTTCAAAAAAGGTTTAAGCAGATATTACTATAACAAATTATTAATTATTTGCTTTTTATTATTATATAATGATACTTACTATGATTGATTCTACCTGAAATATATTTTATTAAAATATTTCACAAATAATAATCTTTATAATTACTTAATATTTACATGCTAAATAATAAATACTAAAAATAATGTAAAAATCATATGCAATTCAAGACATTAATACTGAACTTCCATCTGAGTCTAAGTATAAATTACACTTAATATTTTTCTGCCATCTCCTATTTTTCAACATTCTTAGATTGTTTAAAAGTCTTTTTTAGACTAGTTTCTTTTTATAATAATATAGAAAATTTTAATAATGCAATAAGTATGATATAAAAGGATTCCCGTTTTACTACTAATAAATGTTACCGGTAAAAATTCAAATTTTATACTAAAAAGGAAAGGTTATAAATTAAATAATTGATTAAAAATTTATATATTGAAGAGCATTTATACTGTAAATAATAATCTAATGAGTAAATACATATTTCTTAAAAACTATTATTAATTTTTTTATTTTTAATTAGATTTATTAAGAGTTGTTTTTTTATATTAAAACATTAAATTAAAGCAGTATATAATATTTAACATTTGAATCTTTTATTGATAATCTTTTGCAATATCATTTGAATTATTATGTAACAATTTTATAATTTTCACAATAATATGATATTCATTTGACACGTTTTTAATCCTTAAAAAACATTGTTGCCGTTAATGGGTTTTATAACCTTAAAACTTCAAAGATAATTTTCTTTCGGATCAGATCAATCATTTAAAGTTAAAAAAGTTTGAACCAAAAGATTTAATTCAACTTTGAACATATCTTATCTTAATCTAGACATAACTTTGTTTATTAAATTAAAAAATTGTTCGTTCAAAGAAATCTTTTTAAATCAAAAATATGAATCATTAAGAATGATATAAGCATTACATAATCGAAAAAATTATTAAGGAAAAATATATATTCTTTCTACTTTACATCAATTTTTTTTTACAAAAATTATTTAAATATACCTTTTATAATTTTAATTCTCTTCATTTAAATCAAATACATTATGACCAAGCGATAATTCAACAAGATCATAAATAATAATTGCACCAACCAAAATAATAGAAGTAATTCCAGCAACCACAGAAATAATTGTTCTCTTTTTCCTTTGAATAGGGAAAGCGACAAAAGAATTTTTTGAAGGTTTGTTCGAATAAATTTCATCAATATCATTGGTAGTAGTAGATCTTTGTTTAGAATGTGCATATCCAGAATTTGATAAGTTTTTTCTAGATAATATTATTGAAACATTATCATTGTTAGAGCGTGGTAATCGATTCGGATCAAGTAAATCTTCTTCAGCCTCATCTACATTAGAAGTTGTTCTAGCCGCCTTTTCATTTATAGTACCATTAAGTGTATCAGAAGCTTTGGTTTTCGGAGATGAAAAAGTTACAATTGTTGCATTAACAAGAGATTCATTTGATTGATTTGTTTTATTTACCGGATTCATACTTGATTCTAAACCTTTTTCCCGATGTTCAATTTCTATGGTAGAATGTTCCTTTTGCTTTTGACTTAAATAATATAAATAAAATGGTATAATAAAGTTACTCGTGCTAGTAAATAATAAACTAGCCCAATTTGTAAATATATTTAACCAATATCCTGTTTGAAATGGTATAACAATTAGCCAAGGTAGTAATATCGACAATACGGTTGCCATTCCTAGAAAAATTTAAAATAATTAAAACAAAAATTAATTAAAATTTTCTCATTTATAAGGCAGGAATATTTCACCTTTTTTGCAAAAACCGGATCTAACCAAATTATAACGAACGACAATAAATTGTACTGGTATACTCGTTAATAAAACAGCCACCGGGAATACAAAAGTTGCGATATCCGTTACGAAATTTCTATGTGATGATGCATTAATTTCTGCTATAATGTTTGAAGCTAAGCCCATTTGATATGCCATTCCTCCTAATATTCCTAACACAATGTATGATGCTGTGCTTATTATCACAGAATACCATATAGATTTTTTAATACAAACGTCAGGTCGCTAAATAAAAAAAATGTTCAGATGCTCTTCTCAAAAGGAAAAAAAACCCATTAAATAAATCAAAATGAATATGTACTAGCTCGTTAACCCAACTTGGAACGGTGGTGATAAACGCATAGTTAAATAATACTGTTCCAACAACCTGACTCTGATCATTGCTGACCAATGGAATATAATCTTTAGTCAATCCAGTAAGAATGAATGTAACGATCCACGTGATTATAATAAAAATGAGAGCTCCGAAAGAAGCTATAAATTACACGGGAGACGCAGAAAATAAGCATTATAACGCGAAAATTGACACAATAAATTCGCTATAACATTTACCAATTTGAACAATAATATTATCAACCAAATCTAAAAATGCCAAAGGAACACAAAATGCCACCGTAATCTATAAAAATAAGTAGTGTAAGTATGGCGCAGTAAGCTTTTCAACTCTCTCCAAGATATTTCACCATAAATCCAGAAGTGGCTAGCATATAATTCGAACCGAAAGGATTATTCTCATTGGTTTCTTCATCTACACAAATGAATCCTAAATCTGGATGGAGACTAAATCCACAAGTTCTACCGGCTATTTTCAATAACATCCAATCCATAGCTTGAGCCGACAATATAATTGAAGCGATAATAATCGACTCGATAGCCAAATACATAATAATTTGCACAATTATTCGCACTTTGCGATTGTGGATTAAAAGGTTTGATAAATGAGTAAACTCGATTTTACGCTAAAAATAAGAGGGGGATAATTAATTTCGCGATAAAGGAATCAATATAGAGTATAAGGAGCTAGCTATAATCGCATACTTGAAATCTTTCATTTCCATGAATTGTCGTAAGAGCTTCACATAAAAGTAAGGAAGCAGAAGCACCAAGTGACATGGCGATAGTAAACATAATAGTAGGTAATAACCATCCCGAAGTTTGAAAGAGTAAAGGAACTATTTATGTAACGGTAAAGTAGGCAAAGCGTTAATTGTATTTTTTTTACAGACTGAATTTTTTTTTATTTCCACTTATAAATACTTGTCACAAGTCCAGGTCCAGTCATGGATGAAACTAAGAGCGCAACACTCCCTATGAAAGAAATTCCACGTGAGCCATTCATTATTGTCATTTACAAAGAAGATTACTTCAAAAGAAATTTCTTAATGGAATATTGCAACATTCAGTAAAGAAGTAACTCGAAAAAAATTTTCTTTCAAGTCCACACATTTTATATAGGATTTTTTTTTTTTATTTAGATTTTAATTACGACTTTTTAGCAAACAATAATGATATTTCAAATGGTAGTGATTCCACAAATTAACTTTAATGTAGTGAAACCCAAACAAATCAAACTTTCTATTTCTAGAAATCCCTTTATTTTTTTTTTTTTCTCCATAATATCATATTTAGTAAAAGATGCACGAATCATTAAAAGTAATTACATCAATTTAAAAAATAAATAGACGTGGTGAAATGTTCTACATTTCAATTAATATGTAAAATATCAACTAATATATAAAATAAAGTATTTAAAATTTTTTTTTTTTTTTTTTTTTACTATTTTTAGCTATTCAACTATCCCCAAGATATTTAATGAAAAACGTGTTTTTTTTTTAAAAAAAAAATATATTTCGAACTTCGTCAGATCATTCCAGTTAACTTTCTCGCGAAATTTATAGTTTCGCTGATAGAATTGCGTTCCGACGATGACGGTGAAATCCAAGAATTATGGATTAAATTTATAGTATCCTCCGAAGATACTATTCCTTCTTCATCTTGTAAGGTCGACATGAAATTAAGTTGATAACTTTCATTTCTAAATTAAATTTTGAGAATTGATGAGATATATTCAACTTTAATTCCAAAAGAACATAAACGAAGATTTATAAAATACTTACATAAATCGTTTTTTGATAATTGATTGTCTAACTCTCGTACATTTGAAATTACTATTTAAAGGAAAATCGTCTTGTCGGATGAACATTTTGTGACAATCGAGTTGTAATGGTACTTTCCCACTCATCAAGTACATTCTTCCAAGAAACCTGTTTGATCTCTGTAGATTATTGATGATTTTGTAATATTTTTTGATTATTGGAATCATTATTTGAGACTTGATAATAAAACGTAAATTGGAGGTTTTGTTTCCCGAAATGATATCTATAATTGCGTGTCGTTGAAAATTTTTCGTAACCTTTTGAATCTTCCAAGAATCTGTGAATAAATAGTTTATCTCGGTTTAATTAATGGGAAAATTCGGTAAAATTCTCAACTCTTTAAATGAATTTTAAAAAAGCTTACCAAATAATGGGTCATAATATAATTTCATTTTCTTCTTTTGATTATCTTCCAAAAATGAAATTGTTATTATACTTTCTTCTACGAGATCAACTTGTCGAAATCCAAAATCCTGAATCAACCTTTCAATCTTAAATGCATCCTCAAAAGATCCAACATCATGACAGAATGACGTAATGACTCCTTTATGACCTCTCTGTAATCCATTCCACTCGCATAAAGAAAGAGCAGTTTTATCGAGTTTATTAAAAAAAACTTTTCC